AAGCCTGATGGCAGAGAAACCGCCACCACATGTAACTGATAACCGAGCCTGAGAATCCAGCACTCCATCACGGCCCTCATTACGCGAGTGTAGCTAAAGTATGGGCTTATATATTACAAGTAATAAATACAAGAATAGAGGAACAGGTTGACATCAGAGGTTATAATTATGAGCGCATTTCAAATAATTTCATTTCAAGGGTCATGAACTCATATCTACAACAGTTTTGAAACTTCTGGAACTTATGTTAAGTTTATATTTATGGAAGTTTCATTGTTCAAAGTACTAATCAATAGCCTTTGCTTTATGGTAAAAAAGAGCCAAGGTGAACACATCCCTTAAGAATTGTAGTTGTGTTGCATATCAAAACGCCCGGGAACCTAACAGTAGGGTACAAACCGATATTTTAGCCCGAGAGCCAGTTCTGCCGGACTAAGTCTGTTCGCCCGAACTGAAAGTTCAAAGAAGGATCTATTAAATTCCTTATTTTAACTAAACGAGCGTAAAAGACAACATTGTGAGCATTATGAAACAAACGACTGTGACGTCAACGACGAAAAGTCCAGTTTCCAGTTCTCCGCGTGACTACTGAGCCGCGTGACTATTTTTGCTCTCGTGGTTGCACTTCTTGACAACCCTAAGTATGAACACTTTCTGTGATATCAAAAAAATCCGCTACGCCCAGTTTTCTTAGCTGTTCATATTCCTTTTCGGTTATTATTGCCTCTCTGATGATTTCCTGTCTTATTAAGCTATTGTTTACAGTTTGACTGGATTAGAAGATTATTTTGCAAGCACGTTTTGTCAGAATGTTGACGTTAATATTATGTACCCAACATTTTCGTTCTTCTCGTCAACTCACCTACAATATTTTCCAGCAGAATTGCTGTTCTGAAACAAACGATCTATGAGACTGATGCATTTCAGGTTTGATTATCATTAAACCGCAAGCATGTAAAAAAGATCTAAAAGTACCAAAAGGTATTAACTTGAACAAGTTTTATAGCATTTAAGATACATATTGAACAGCAGCATTTGTGCTTTCTGGTTCTTAGAGGACGGCCGGGAAATAGGCATTACTTTGCCTCTTTCTTGCGTTTTATCAAAAAACTCGGGTTAGCTATTTCAGCAGAAATCCTGTGGAGTGACTGAACTCTGCGACAGAAAGACGGTCCTACAATGGTTTCATCTCGAGTATCATACGGTGTCATACGGTTATTGACCAAGCTTGTTCGGTCAAGATGGCTGGATATTGGCCAAGTTTTTTTTTTTGCGTGTTTATGGACCGAGACGGAGTCGAGTTCCGTAAACTCGCAAAAAAAGAACGAGGCCAATATCTAGCCATCTTGACCGAACAAGCTTGGTCAATAATTAGAGGATTTACTATATGGCTTTCGCGGAAATTTTTCTTGCGGGACACGGCGGGTAGCCCCGAGCGGGCAAAATAGCTCTATCTTGCCCACTCGGGCAGCCAATCACAGCGCAGGATTTGATTCATTTTGCCCGCTCACGGAACTAGCCATATAATAAATTCAGGTAAAGCTAACCTATCAATATGTTCTCAAACATATATCAACGTTAAACATATTTAAAACTGCGGAAAGTGCGGAAGTCCAATTTGTCATGTTTACTGACTGCACAAAACACGCATCAGCGGGCGCTCTTATTCATCGTCAACACTTTGATTTTTACACAAACAAAACTAAGCGGTATCTACAGACGTAATCCAATTATTTTTGTCTGAGTTCGATTTCGTTTGACTGCTAAACTCAATCGAACTCAATCCATGAATTGAGTTCGATTGAGTTCGATTGAAATACAGTTCGATTGAGTTCCATTGACTATGCCGGGTAATCTTCAACATGTGAAATTTAGAGTGGAGTCAGTGGCGGATCCAGACCTTGAGCTA